CCCCCCCCCCCCCCCCAGAAAGGAATCTGTTGTAATGTAATTTGAATCATAATTTGTGTTCCACAGTCCAGCACTTTGGAATCTGATGGAGTTTTTGGGTTGGATCTTTAGAATCCATCTTAAGTGTTGCTCTGTGCAGTGTTTGAAGCCAGCATTTTATTCCAGGATGCAGTTGAACTACTGAGATTTTAAGTTTGACAGTTTCTCCTACAAGTTTCTTCACTGTTAAAAAAAACTTCAGTTCTAAGACAAAAACTCTCAGTTCTAAGACATTTATTTTGGCATTAGAGTGCATCTGTTTAGGTTGTTGGGTGTGTATTCTGCAATATGGATTTGATTTCTGTTTTTTTCATTATGTGTGATTTTAGAAAAGAAGAATTGCTCTTGGTTTGGTATTTTAGAACTGAAAATGAAATCACTGTCACAATCATGTTCACCGTACTGTATGTGTGTAAGTGTGCGAATGCCACATGTGAAATTGTGTTTAAATTCGTTTTCTTTGTGGACCACCCATTTTCTTCTGCTACACTAGTAAACTTTACTGACTCCACCTGAGCAAAAAAATGATAATTAACCCTCAGCCTGATTGTTTTGCTCATATGCAGTTACTTCCTGTGATGTATCTGACCAAAGATTTGAGTTTGCATTGTGCAACTGAGAAAAGTGTTGCCGTTATTAGAGATTTGGCTTTTGAAATTATGTTGAGCATTTGTGATCAAGTATTCAGACAAGACACACTGCTCTAAATTCTATTTCAAGGTTTCATATCACACTCCATTCATTAGACTGTGCTATGGGATTTTAGTGTCCACTGATGTCATTTCCACTTTACTGTACCTGTGCTGTAGTTCCATGATCGACATGACAACTGTATCCAGCAACAAACTGTCTCACAAATCAACTGTTTTATTTTCTTGAAACTGTACGGATTGATTTCTGTTGATGTCCATTTATGACATCCCATAACTTAACTGGTGTAGCAGTGACTTACTGTATTTTTTCCCTCTTTTTTTTAGAGCTGTTTTTATCTTTAGGCCAGGCTGATTTGTACGTTTCCATATGCACTGTATGTTTAAGACAATATGTGCAGTGTTCACTGAAATAGGAAGCAGAACTGTGCTGTGCACAGTTTTTAATTTTTCCAACAAATTTGTCTAATAGAGACTCTGATTCAGTGGCTCTGATCTATGTGAAGTAGACATTACAAATAAGAAGAAGAAGAATAAAACAACACTGGGAATATACTTTGTGATGTTTATTATCTTACGTTTCTAGAATGCTTTACCATAGATACCATAAAGAAATATTACATTTGTTTCCTCAAATACACAAGTTACAATGATTCCACAGTATGCTAATATCACAGGCAATTGCATTATGCTTTTGGGAGTTTGCCTGAAGCGGAGTCGAAGCGTTTAACAACTCATTAAAAAGAAATCTCAATATTTTCAATACAACAGAGAACTATCACGCTATCATGGTGCACTCTCATGTCTAGCCACCAGATAGAGACATAACCCAGTTCTTTCATTACGTAATCGCCAGATGCATAACTATATCTAGCAAGCATCCAGCTTGCATCAGCCTTGCGTTTTAAAACAATTAAATACAGATGTGTTTTGTTGAAATATCAATAGGCTATTAGATTTAGAGGTGTATACTAAGGAAAAACGCATTCACGTATAAAAAAATAGTCTATATAATTCCTATAAAACATTTTTTTTTTTTTTTTCAAAAATATTTTAAGATATATTTCAATAATAACGTGGTGGAAATAAATGACGGCTTCAATCGCGCTCCAGTTCCTTGCAAAAACAGCTATATCCTATGTCATAGCCAACGAACCCGACATATTTGCCAAGTATTCATTAATTATCCTTATTAAGACACCCACGCATTAATTTTCGCGTCTTCTGACCTGTCAGTCGGTCGCACCAGACAAATGAATATTCTCGGCGTCCGTTCATTCATTCATTCATTCATTCATCCGTCTATGGTTGAGCGCACGAAGACCCGCCATGGTCTGAATGCAAATGAAGCTGCGGGGGGACTGACCAATTAGAGTGAGGGAAGTCCACGAGAGGGCGGTGACTGAGAGCTTTCAACCAATCACAGCGGACAGGGCGGGATATTCTAATGAGCAGGGAACACCTCAATGTACAGCAATGCGAGGGGCGTGAGGGGAAGATTCAAAACTGAGATGGCCAAATATTGTCCGACCGCAGCAATATGAGTAACAGAGACGCTTGTTAGGGGAAAACGCTCAAACTACATGGGAATAGTCTCTTTTGAACGTGATAAACGACCACAGCTATAGCAGAAGCAGGCTGACGCAGATCATATTGAAAGATTGATTGCTTTTGTTCTGCTGGGAAGGGTGAGGAGCATCCTGCTGGACCTCGGGATTCCTCCGAAGATGGAAGAAGAGCGCAGTCGGAATAAAAAGCGTCTGGAGGCCAGTTTGGCTTGGCTGTGTGAGCTGGAGATACTGAAGCAGCGGCAGGAGAGTCTGGTCCTCGGTGCCCTGTCCCTCGGGGACTCCGTGCCGGGATGGCCCGCTTGGGGTGATGTGGGTCCGGCCCGCAGCAGCAGAGAGCAGGAGCAGCTCACTTTAAGACGACAGCTGGTAGGTGCGACATGTTCACTGATGAAAACCATGCTTTTAAAACTCCCTCCAGCCTTTCTCTTTAAGGAGGCGTGGGTATTCGGAAAGCGTTGTGAAAAGTTTAGAAATTACGAGGAATTTTTCCAAGTCATGTGTGGAAGAGCGCACAAAAACAAGAAGCTTGTTACTTTTTGGTGTTACATAATTGGCACGTGAAAACTGCAGTGTGCCGTTATATATTTTATAACACCAATATGCCGTTATAATGCCATTAACGCAAGAATAATGCAGCATAAAGGCAATTTCTTTTCACAGCAAGTGCATGCTTTTTGACAGCTGTGATTGATGTGCGCTTGGAAAAAGGGGCGGGGTCTGCAGACTTGGGCTATCCATTGTTCGTTTCGCGTGGATTTACCGATTCTACTTTATCTAACGAAATATCAAGCCTTTCATTTCTTTAGCTACATTTTTTATTATCGTTATTAGTCTATAATTATATTATATTATATTATATTATATTATATGTGACCCTGGAGCACAAAACCAGTCATAAGTAGCATGGGTATATTTTTATCAATAGCCAAAAATACATTGTATGGGTTAAAATGATCGATTTTTCTTTTATGCCAAAAATCATTAGGATATTAGTAAAGATCATGTTCCATGAACATATTTTGTAAATTTCCTACCGTAAATAAAATTAAAATTATTAAATTAAAATTAATTAAATTATTAAATATATCAAAACATAACTTTTGATTAGTAATATGCATTTC